CCAATGACCAGTGTGTTTATTTTTCCCATCAGCAGGAGGGTGAACACACATGAAACCCCTCTCCTAATGGGAGAGAGGACCCGCCTAACACCTTGTTTGTCTGGCTTCAGGGTCTCTCTGTTCACAGGCTGGACTTGCCCGGGTTTGTTGTAACCTAGTTTTAATCTTTGTGCCTCATTTTCTGTTCTGTATGCATCTTACTGCCTCCCCCTCCCATTTCCCCTTCCTATCTATCTAGGTTAAGTTTCAATTTCCTGAAAGGCCATAAAAGCCTTAGGTCTCAGTTTCTGGTAACCCCTCCTCTCCCCTCATCCGGCTATCTGTAATAAAACATGCTGTTCTTTAAGAAATGTTCTCCTCTGTAAAAATTGTAAAATCTTACCTAATTGATATGTTAACAATTGTTGCCCTCTACAAATAACAGGTGTGGTGCTAAAATAAGCTAACAAGGGTTGTTAATTACTGCTAGACTTCTCTATTCTCTGCTAAGGGAAAGAAGATGTTTGCCCAATCTAAACTTGCTTGTACGCAGGGAGACTTGCTTTTTAGCCCAACCCTTATCTGAACTTTGCTCTTCCCAATGTAATCTCCATGTTCCTGTCCTATAGAGCACCCCGGCCCCCCTCCTTGCATTGTGAGACCAGCAGCTGTTTGTGGTTTTTTACAAGCTAAAAGCCCTGACTTTTAGCTGTCAGGCGTTCAGTCTCCAAATTGGCTCCTTGGGATTGCGTTGCCAAGCCTGGCCTAAAATAAAGCCTTTGCTCCCCAAATTTTAATTTCTTGCTTCCTTGGGTTTTATTCCAGGGTCTGAGCTATCACAAGATTTATGACAGATCTTCAGTGCAGCTGCTCTCCACATAGATGAGTGACAGTTTTATGTCTGTGGTTAATTGTGGGGATCACCTGTCAGATGTCACACCCACAAAGTCACACACCACCCGCCAACAATTCACAAGATACTCTGTAGAGAAAGACCACTGTGTGTGTCTGCACATGAAGGTCTGGGAGACAGTTTATATAACAAGACAGAATAAAGTGTTTTGTTTTCTGCATGAGAAGTCTGTGTCCTTTTCCATTTAAGTGTTACTTCATGTGGATGCATACAGAATAGGGATATTTTTATTTCACATTGGCATACAATCCAATATTTCTTTAGTTAGTATTTTCCTTTGTTTTAACTCTGTCCCTTGGGAATTCATCCAGTAGAATATTTCAAAATAAGTCCTATCATGGAGGGTTTGCTTTGAGAAGTTTTTGATTGCTTGATCATGACCATACTTTGTGATGTACAGTTAGACAACAGCCACTGAGCTCATTGTGCATTTTCCTGCCCTGGTTAGAGTGTGAGGTGGTTACTAGGGCCCTATGTATGATGCCTGTCTCCAAGACAACTAGCATCCCAAGAAAGTCCCTGCACAGCTAGTGTGTGGCCTCCTGGGAGAAGCCCATGCAAAGGTGACTTCAAGTGCTTTAAAGGGGATGCTCCTTCCTGGAAGGAAAAACTGCCCGAGACACAGGTCAGGAGCCTCACTCCCTCTGACTTCTCCCAAAACTTCTCAGAAAATCACCTGCACTGCTGTGGATGGTCCTATGAAAGTAGGTACAGGAGTTCCTGCTGTGTGCTATTTATCCCTCCTTGGTCACTCACTTGGATGATATTGGAGGATGGGGTAGCAGAGAAAACTGAAATGTTCTGCATATTTTCTGTTCCAAATGGAAAAGTGTCTTTTTCACTCAGCTTTCCCCCTTTATCAGGATTTCACTTCCTCACTTCAGTCTCCCAAAGCCACATGTGGCTCTCTTTCCCTCTGCTTCAATTCCTCCATCCTTCTTAGACCATCATGTCTCACTCTTCCTGATCAATCACTGTTCTCCCACCCACTCCCCCAGACTGTTTGATTTATAAAATGGTCAGTTGCCTGCTGAAGGCACAGGCCAGGACATCAGCTGCTCTGCATAGCACTGGCTATTTTCCTCTGCAGCTTTCAGCCAGCACAGAGGGAGCAGGCCCTTCCTCCTCTGACACAGATTCTGACCTGCATTGTGCTCAATTTATCCCTGCAACTCACTGTGGACTGTAATAAAAGACAAGATTGCTGCAAGGTAAGGCATGAAGTACATGATATTGCATCCGGTTCTTCATATATGGAACTCTATGTATTGAGCTCTCTAAATATATGTGTCTCATGATGTCTCTCCTATAATTTCTTCCATATCTTTCAACTTTTTAACTATCTGCATGTTGCCATCATATCACTAATATTTTGCTAAAGGTTTTGGAAGAATTTTTTTATGGAATCCACAGTGTATATACACCTTTATAAAGAATATGAAGTGGAACTCACCCTCAGAAAGCAATGATGTGATACAAATACTGATGTGCATATCCCCTGAAGTTAGAGGAAAGAAAACCTTTTCTTCACATGGTGACCACAGAGTGCTTGGCTGGCTTCCAAGGCACAGATCTGGGAGCAGTACAGGGAGTGACAGGTGTTTAGAATGTGCTTGTGTAGAATGCCTAATTGAAGACACAGTTATTCCAGTATTTTGATCTTCATATTTTCAAATTTGAAAAGCCACTTTTAAAATTCCTTTCTCTTTTCTTTTGGTCAATCTCTTTTGTTGTTGTCCTCTTCATTCACTAAAAATCAAAATGAAAATATGGCAAAATTTTATTTATTTCCCTTTACTATCTATTAAATTTGGTTTTCTGATATTAATTCCTTGTCCTCAAAAGTAAAGATGAAATTAGAGCAATTAATGTAGGGCTTGAATTCTATCAGTCATCTTGACTGAGATTGTGTCTAAATTACATGAAAGAAAATTTTCATGTTCTCTTTTATTTGCATTGGTATTGGATTATATAGAAGGTTATGGTCAACATTAAAATATTGCTATTTCCATGGATATAGTCTCTCAAAGTAGGTGACTTTTAACTATTTTTTTCTATATGATGAAAATGGAAAGCGTTTGTGTTTTGAAAATTTGTAAATGCACCCTCTCTAAATCAACTCATAATATTGAGCTGTGGGAGGATTTGTATTAAAAATAGCAATAATTGTATTTTGGAAAAACAGTAGGGGCAGTGTTCAGATGTTAGTATTAAGGGTTTCATTAATAGAGACTGTGTCTCAGCTGTGAGAGAGAAATAGCTCGTGTCAGACCTCACTTGTCAATCCCAGTTCCTCCTCTTGGGATTACACTATAGTGAACAGAAGAAAGCAGAGATGGTCAATAGTTAAGCAATTAGCACAGGGAAGATAGGAAACACTTCTCTGCAGGGCGGATGGCAAGGCTGAGCCCATTTTCTGGGTAAGGACCCAGTGAGCCACACTGGACATCAGGCCTAGCAGACTTGGTGCATCCTGAGAGTGCACAGAGCAGACAGACTCTGAGGACCCAAGGAATTAAGGTACTAATCTTACAGGGACTTTAATCTTAAAGAGCTCCTCAGGCAGATGTGTGTATTTAGTGAGGATCATGAATTCTCTCATCTTTGATCCTCATTGGTCTTTAGAGCAACCTGGGCAGGGACAGTAGGGCTGGCCAGGCTCTGAGCTCAGCAGGACTTGGTTCACAGCCCCTTGAATGCACCTAGCATGTGCATCATAAGACAATTTTTGAGACAGAACTGCAGATGACCCTTTAGGGCCCACAGAAACTCCTCTAACCTTGCAGAGGAGAAGGGCTGCCCTGAGAATTACAGGGAGGACACTGGAGTGATGGACAGTGCAAAGGGACTCTAGGGACCCAAGAATCGGAGGGCTTAAAGAAGCCAGCCCCCCTCCCATGGGAGCCTTGCTGTGAGAATGCAACACCTTTCTGGTGGGCGGGCTTGTCTCTATGCTAAATAACTGCACTGGAAAAGGAAAAACATTGCAGATGCTATAATAACATTTAGACCAAAAATTTAAATTTTTCATGAAAGACAGGGGAAAAAATCTTCTTGTCTTGCAAATGGGGAGGGACTAGGTAATTGTGAGATCACTTTATAATGATAAATGTTTCACATTTTACTTTTAGTTTTTTCATTTCTAATGAATGGACTCCTAGTTAGAGAATGCCCTGACAGGGAGATCTCTCTCAACTCCTCTTCCAGCAGCTCAGCTGACTGATGGACATATTATTGATGATTTAAGATTTCAGTACATAGCAAGTAGATGGTTCACCCATGACTTCTAATGCACACAAAATTACACCAATGAGGACAATACCGATTCACATAAGGGGCACCTTATGCTCTATTCCAGTGATTATTCCACAGCCAAATCAGAAATCATAATGGGAAAAATCAGGCTCACTTAATTTTTCAAAATGAATCCAAATTGAATCACTTTGAACTGTTGCTTCCATCCCTATTTTATTATTTGAATACAAAGTTAACTACCCCGATATTTTTAAATGCATGTCTCAAGAGTGCAGACTGAATATCAGATTATGTACTGTGAGTGTATTTGTCTGATGAACACAGCACATCTCAATTCTGTCTAAGCCACCTTTCCTTCACCTCCACCCATTTCTTGTTGTTCCCTGTTACCAAGGCTCTCTCTGTTGCCTATTTTCTCATTTATTTGACCTTTATTTATACCTTGAGTTTTTCATGTAAGAGAAACCATGTGATTCATAAGGCTTGTGTCTGATTTTCTTCAGTTCACATGATGGCCCCAAATTGCCCATTTTCCTACTCAGGGCCTCAAGTTTATCTGTCTTTAAAGATGGGAAAGTAGTATTGCATGATGTATAATACCACGTTTTCTTCCTCACTCATCCATGGTTGAGTACAGGCAACTTCCTGGGTTGAGCTGGAGTGAGCTGTGATGCTACAAACATGGATGTTTTTGCAGAATTGTGTATAGCTATTGTTCCTCCTACACATTCCTCTTCCCTGTCTTTCTAGGTGTGTTAATCATCTTTTATTTCTCTAAATTTTTCACTGATCCTGTAGTATGATGTTTATAATTCACCATTTTGCATTTAGACTCACCCTGCAATTTTACAATATGAGGAATCAGACACTTCCAAGAGGGTTTTTGCTCCTGAGACTGATGGACAGCAGGACACTGCTGGGGCTGCAGGCTGCCCTCTTCTCCTTGGTCTACCTGGTGTCCGTGCTGGAGAACCTGACTATCCTCCTACTCACAGTTCTTGACCACCACCTCCACACCCCCATGTACTTCTTCCTCAGGCATCTGTCCTGCTTGGACCTGTGTCTCATCTCCACTACAATCCCCAAATCCATTGTCAACTCCATCACCTTCAGCGACTCCATCTCTTTCTTGGGATGTGTGTCTCAGCTCTTCCTCGTGATGCTTTTGGCAGGGTCAGAGGTGGGAATCCTGACTGCCATGTCATATGATCGCTATGTCGCCATCTGCCATCCTCTACACTATGAGGCTGTCATGAGCAAAGGGTGCTGTGTCCAGTTGGTGGCTGTGTCCTGGCTCAGTGGAGTGGTGTTTGGGATTTTGTATTCAGCTGGGACATCCTCCCTAGAGTTCTGTGGCTCCAACCAGATTCAACAGTTTTTCTGTGATGTCCCTTCCCTAGCAAAGCTCAGTTGTTCTGAGGAGCACGTTATCATCAATATCAGTATGGTCCTTGGGGTCCTCTATGCGTTCTCATGTTTGGTTTGCATGGTGGTTTCCTATGTGTTTATTTTCTCTGCTGTGTTTAAGATCCCATCCAGGCAGAGCCAGTCCAAAGCCTTCTCCACCTGCACACCCCACCTGGTGATTGTAGGTACCTTTCTCCTTTCAGGTACTGTTCTGTATTTAAAGCCAGCCTCTAATGCTTCTCCTATTGGGGACTTGTTGTGCTCTGTGCTCTACTCTGTGGTGCCTCCTGTCTCGAACCCCATTATCTACTGCCTGAGGAACAGGGACATTAAGTCAGCCCTGTGTAAAATGCTAAGGAAAGTGAGAAAGGGACTAATAGGAGATTGAGTACAGTTAAAGCATTTCATCACTTTACCTTCCTTGTGCCTCCCTCTGCTAGCTGTTAGGATGATTCCTACTTCGAAATCATCTTATTCTGTGGTCTTTTGATGCTGATCTCAGGGTTTCAGTTTGAGAAGAAAGTAGGTCATTTCCTGGGATCCTTCACTTACAGCTTTTGTGTTCCAGAAAGTGGGATGGCTTTTCCATTGTACCTTTCATGATTGTCATTCTTATTTTTCTGTTCCCTATATAGGAGAATCCTGTGAAGTTCTTTTTGCTCCTAACCATTTGATGTTTTTATTTCTGCATTTTGTTAAACTTTATTATATGTTCTGATCTTCACTTTTCAGTGAAAATAGGTTTAAATTTAATTTATGATTTAAACATAATTGCAGGGCCAGAAATATAACTCAGCAGCACAAATGCCTGTCTGGGAAGATCGAAGTCCTGAGTTTGACCCCAGAGCCAATAAAGCTTTAAAAATCTTTTTAAAGATAATTCTTTAATTTTTAAGATGCCTTTAAATTTATCACAAGTTTTATTGTTGGATACATTTTGGTGTATTCAACATATTAACACATTAAATCTTTCACATCTTTATTTTTTTCTAATGTTTCTGAAGGCAGATTTTTTTTTCTTTTCTGAAAGCTGTGTGTCTGTAATGTGCATCTTCCTGATGATTTGTGATTATGCACTAGAATTTATGAAAGTGGAAAGTGCTGGTACTTCTCACATTGTGACAAGTCCTACTTCCTCCAGGCTCACAGTATCACACTACATTTCCAGTACCATCAGGACATAGAATTATGTTCAGCTCCCGACTGGGAAACAGTTCTGCTTCCCTATTGGGTCTGCTCACAGATTCCTTCATAGGAGAGAGATGAGCCCTTGCTGAGCAGCACCACTGTGCCACACTTTGTCCTCAGCCTGTCCTCCTCCAAGCGAGCAGAAGCTGCACACTGTGCTGTGGGACAGCAGGCTTGGGGAGGAGCCTTGGCTCCAGCTACAGAACCAGTAACACAGGACATATTAAATGCTGTGGCCATGAGCATCATCTTCAGACATTGTCTGCCCACTGAATATCTTTGAAATTAGTTCCTATGTCCTGCTCAGTGGACCCTTCTATTTGTACAAATTCTACTCAGACTTCAAAGTGTGCTTTAAATAGAATGTGACTCCAAAAAACCATAAAGCCCTTGGTCTCACACATTTTCAATCTCTAAATACATGTGAATGTTAAGAATAATTTATATGCATCTTCCTTATTTTTTCCATGCTATGCAAATTTCAGCAACATTATCACATTTTCACTTGAAATCATTGCCCTGCTTAATGAGGCTGATACAAGTGATGCCCTGTCTCAGTATCTGAAAATGGCAAATGTGACAATTGTTTAACTGTGTTACAGTATGGTAATAGTACAGCTCTAAACTCCTGACATCTAAAGAAAGATGACTGAGCGTTTCCTGGCTAGCTCAGTGGTTAGAACTAAATGCTTTCAGAAGATCAGAAAATGGATGTCCACAAATGTTCAGGCAGGAGTTTGTTTCAGTACAGTAATTTTCCTTTGAATTTGATTATAGAATAAAAGCTAGATCATGTTGTGGAACAGCAATCTTTTATGTGTACATTAGCTTTATAGTCTAAGGCAACACATCATTAACATTTCACAAAAAGAAACATAAAAGAGTTTTTATGTTTCAAAGAGATTTCAAAGACATTGAAAAATGTTTTTAAAATTGCCACATTCTAACAAATAATTACCACATATATAGCTTGATACAGAAAAGAGTGTGGGATATCTTAATGTGTCACGTATGTGTGTTCAAAGGGATGAACTCTGATTTGGGTCCATGTTTCCTATGATGAAAATAAATTGAAAAACTGAAAAGACCTGGTGTCTTATTGTTAATTTAAATATGTACATATATATTATATGTTATATATAATATAAGGTAAATAAGTCTGGGTATGTATACATAATTTGAAGCAAAAATATCATTTGAGGCTTTTGAAAGGAGAATTTACAATAAAAAATGTGAAATCCAAGTAAACTAAAATATGAAAGAAATCAATGATTGCATTAAACTTGAAAGTAAAATGACACCGAAGATTAAATTATCAAAATATAACCCAGTCGAGAATTTAGCTCTGCAGTGCAGGACCCGCCTCGCAAGAGCAGGATCCTGAGTTCAATTCCTGGTACCAAAAAATGCCAAGAAAAATATTCAGTACTGATATTATTTTCACTCCAAACAGCTTATTTCAAGGCATAACATAAATTAAAAGAAAACATTGAGAAATATTATAACCAAATTTTCAAAATGTATCAGTAAGCATAGCAGATGCCATAAGTAAACCAACAGCACTGCAAAATGACACAAATCAGCTCTTTAGCATGTGGGGCTTTAAGGTACCTCGAAGGTTCCAATCATAGAATTAAAAAAAAAAACATATTGCTAAGTAGCGAAAAGGGGGTAATATCTGGGTAAATCTATCACAAGTATTGGGGCTTCACATTCCACTTATTGGCAATGATTCAGTTTTCTCTGTCACAATGAAAGGTTGGTGTGTCAGTCTGGCATCTATTCTAGCTTCCAGTTCTTAGGGAAAACTAGAGAATAGAGCTATTTTCTAGGAACCCCAATTATTCCACAGTCCACTATTTCACTGAGTGATCCACCTTCAGGGATCACAACCAAGACCCTTTTAGGGATGTGGCTGGAATCTCAGAGTTACATTGTGAAGGTACTCCCAGTTCTCAGGTACCAACCAGCCCAGATCCTGTTATACTTTCCTAACCTTTGGATGAGGGTGGATGTGAGAAAGCAATTTATCCAGAATTCTTCTCCATCTTAACTATTTAGTGTTCTCTTCAGGGTCAGAAGTGTCCAGGATCCTGACCTGCTTTCCATTGTGCAGGCACCCGTGACTGCATTGATATCCACCTTCCAGTGATGTCTCTCTCCATTTAACTCAGAGCATACAAACATTTCCAAAGCTTTTTCATAATCATGAGCAGCCTTGCAGTATTTTCTTCTTAAGAAAGGGACATGAATTGTGTCACTATAATTTAAAATTTTGGAGAAGTAAAAGAGCAAGACATTTATCTTATACTCACTTGGTAGAGAAAAAATATTGGGACCATAAACTACCAGATAATTTACAGAGACCTTCTCAAATGTAAAATTTTTATCAATATACATTAAAATTTTATCTAATTATCTTGCTTCCATACATTTTTTTTGAGAAATTCCTTACTCACAATTGAAAAGGTCACTTGAACCTGTCTCTTAATGCAGAATGGATCTATCTGCTTTGCTGATTGTAAATGACAGGGTTTGTGAGTTTGGGAATCAAGGTGTAGAACACATCTGTTAGAAGATTTTTCAGAGAGCCTTCACTGCAGTGAAATCTAGGGCAGCAGCCAACCCAGAAATTAAAAACAGAAGAAAAATTGCCAACTGCAATATAAAGGACTATATAGTTTAGGGATGGACCTCTAGAAAGTGTGTCTTAAGCACTGTTGAGATATATACATATATGTAACAAACAAAAAGACAAAACATAGAAATATGACACATTTACTAAAAAGAAAACCGAATCAGTAAACTGAACATCTGAAGATGATGCCCTTAAAATGCGAGATACGTCACAGAAATGTTGATGAATCACATTGGATTTTGTGAAGTGAAGCCTGAACATGGTTTTTGCTGTGTGGATCACAGAACAGAACAGAACACAGGCCCAGGAGCTCCCCACCTGTGTGCACAAACTCCGGGTGAAGATGAGGCCATAGTGCAGAAGATGACAAATGGCCACATAGCAGGCATAGGACATGACCACCACGAGAACAAGCTATGCAAATGCAGAGAAAATATGCAACAAAATTGAACAGTATTTCGAGTGAAATGGAGATGCTACTTGTAAAGGAATTAATAATTGATTTAGGAACAAGAACTGAGATGCTGCAGAGATCTATGAGGAAAAAAATAAAGCTCCGGTCTCGAGAAAAACACACACTCCTTGTACATCCTTAAGGGGCCAGCCACAACTCCTTTGTACTGAAGTATCCCCCTGAAACGCCCTGGTGATTTTCACTTTCTCAGTCCCCTTTTTTATGCTCATGACCCAATAAAGTCCTGGTAAACTTTATGTGAGCTACTACTGTGGTATCTAGTGCCAGAGAGGTATGTTTCAGGTCTGTTCTAGAATAAACCATTCCTGTATCCCTAATTCTTTTCTTTCTGGCCCTAACACTGACTTCTAGTAACCTTTGAACTATCAAATATTACTGAAGATGCAATGATATGGTCTATATATCTTATATATTATTTAATCAGTCAATTTTTGAAGTTGTATGCTCACTGAAAGAAATGACTCAACATCCTCTCAATCATTCCAGTCATCTTTATCCAGAGGTCAAAAGGGAAGCAATAAGATGAGGGTGTTTGTCCTGTAACAATCCAAAAGCCTGATATATCTGCATGCTGTGCTTTGCTTTTTAATTCCCTATTATCCAATGCTACTTTTCTGTTCATATCTGCCTGGAGCACATCTTCCCATTATCTTCAGGAATGTAGATGATTTTCTTTCACCCTTGCTGTTCTTTGCCTTATGTATACAAAAGCCTGGGATCTATCTGCCTGACCCATCATGCATTATCATAGGGAGACTTCAGTCATGAGACATAGCAAGAAACCAGCCCAGCCCCCTAGAATGGTCGCTTCCTTTTGAGAAGATCCTTCCTCCACATTTTTACTAGCAACCAAGGATGCTTTCTGTGGACACAGTGGTAGGATTTGACCAGGCTGTGGAGATAAAAGTCTCTAACCTCTCAAGGAGCAGGAGGGCTCCTATCCATTGGTTTGGGTTGTATTTTGCTGTTGTTCTTTTCAGTATGAAATCTACTTTGGTAGCTATGGTTTCCTAAAACTCTGGAGAACAAAGGTGAGCAGAATGGGAATGAAGGCTGACAGGACCTAGTATCACAGCTTTGGCCAGGCTGTGAAGGACGAGCAGCTGTGTGGGTTCACACTGAGACTGAAACACTTTTTTGCTGGACTGATTCCTTTAGGCAGGTTCCTTGTTGTTTCACATCAGCCTGGTACACCTGATGCTACTGCTTTTCTTTGCGGGACTGAGTGGGCCGATTGCACAAGAATGCTCAAATTGTAATGGTTACCTGGAAGAAGAGGCAGCAGGACCTCAGTGACTTCATATCCAACCAGGCCTACATTGCAAGTTCAAGACCAGCCTGAACTACCTACTGAGACCTTTTCTAAAAAAGAAACCAAAAAGGAATAAGCTAAATAAAGACAAAGATACAGTTTGGTGCTGAGAAAAACCAGTCAATCACATGAACCAAAGTGTTCAAATATTCTTTTAAAATTTTTGTCATATTAATTCTATTTAATATTCATTTATTCTCATTAACTTTAGAAATATATGCATAGGTTTATATGACACAACATACATATATATAGAATGTATTACATATGTTGTTAACGTTCTCAATGCTACTAATTTTTTTTGTACACCTGACATGTTTATGCTATTTTCTACAAGATACAATTTTATCAAACAAAGTACATAATAAATCATTGAAAATTTCACCCAATATCATCAACATTATTACATAGTATGATATTTGACATTTTAATCAGTGAAATGAATTTCAGAAAGCAAATTAAGCAATTGGACAAAAAATTCAAATCTTATCCTTAAAATTGATGGCACATATGTTGAAAAAGTAAACTCTGAATCTCCCATTTCTCCTTTTTTAAGAAATGTTAGACTGATTATGCTGGATCCTTGTAAAGAATTTAAGGTTTTCAGAGGCAGCACACTTAATTTTGCTTCTGTAGATGTGGAATGAGCATCAGTACTTGTACTCCCTCCACTCTGCACACTGAGTGTTGTTTGGGCACCATGTGCGGTGTCCAGGACCTGACAGTAGCATAGATTGGTAAAATCAGCAGTGTTAAAAAGTGCATCCCATGCAAATCAACTACAGATTCAAAGCATCCCCTTTCAAAATTCTAATGTTACATTTCACAGAAATATATAACATGATGCAGAGATACATAAAGATCTATAAAAGTTCCAAAATAGCCAAAGCAATCTTGAGCATAAAGAGTAAAAATGAACACAAAATACCGTCTGATTTTCAATTGTACTCCAAGTATGTATTAACTAAAACACACAGCTCTGGTATGAAACAGACACACACAAAAAATGGAACAGGACAGGAAGTTCAGAAATAAATTCACACAGACACACAACATACACACACACATAGCTGATTGATTTGGACAGAAATGTCAACAACCATATTGAAAAACAATTCTTATGAAAGAAGAGGGAAACCTGACTGTTCATGAACAAAAGTAGGAAATTATAACTTTGCTAATCACTGTGCAAAAAATCATCATAAAGTAAGCTGAACATTTATGTCAAAACTTAAAACTATGTAACTACTAAAAGAAAACAAGGCAAGTACTTCATGTCATTGGCCTCACCAATGAGATTTTAGCTAAGATATTATAAAATGGACAGCAAAAGCAAAAATAATAAAAATTAACTGTTATGATTTGTGTCTGGGTGTTCCCCCAAAGCCTCATGCAGGCATGGAATTGAATGAATGTAGCATTATTAATTGCTTTGTTTTCTAGTCCCTAGATTGACAGTGTGAAATGCTTCACCCACCCAGATGTAGGTAGCCAATATACAATACAAGGAAGGCAAAGAGGCATGCTTCCCCCTCTTTTTGCCCTGTTCACTCTTGTGCCTTTTGGACAACATGAAATGGCTGCCCCTCAACCACACTACCTACAACCAGCTGAGTGTGGAATGAGGCCTTAAACAATTGTGGGCTAAATAAATCTTTGCTTCACTCATTTTGGGGTCAAGTATTTTGTCCCATCAACAAAAGAAAGTAATCAAAACATAATTTATTACCAGAAGTGAGGTCATGGCTGTGAGTATAACAGGCCATGCGATTCATGAGCTCTTGGGATATAGCTTGTGAAGAATTTGGAGAGGTTCAGAGTTGGTGCCTGAGGGAATACAGCTGGAACAGCTAAAGTTCTTCTGTATGAGACATCTGGTCAGAGTTCAGAATAGCAAAAGTCTGGTATAAATCCTGCCAATAAAGTGCAGGCTCAAGGTGTTTCTGCTGGAAAAGAAAGCATGGGATCCTGGATTCCAGATGATGTATGTTATGGATTTATAAAAATATTGTGTGCTTCTGTTCAGAGATTTTGCCTGAGACTGAAATTAAGAGCGACAAACTAACTAATATGGTTGAAGAAGTTTCAAGGCAGTTGAATGTTGAGATAATGACATTGCTATTGTTCAGAGCTTTTAGCCAGATTCATATCACAAACCAACAGCAAAACTACCAACAGGGTAATTTGAAATGTTGTGTGTTGGACTATGTAAAAAGCTCCTGTAACCCCATGAACTAGAAAGATAAAGCTAAGAAGATCTCAACTGCTGAGAAGAAACCAGAGAATATAAAAAGGCCTGCATGCATCACAAGCACCAATGAGTCTTTATACTTTGCCATCTCAAAATTTCAAATGTTAAAGAGTTTGTTTGGAGGAGAAAGTGTTAGAGTGCCATCTTCAAGACTGGCAGCAATGACCATGCAAGGTTCTAAAATGGTGGCAGCCATACCACCATACCAGGTTGCAGATTGGTCACAGCATAAAAAATTTGTTCCTAACAATCAGATTCGTAGTGCTCAGCAATTAGGCATGCTCCTATGGTCAAGAGAGAAGAAACTCTAACTACTGCATCAGCAGGCCTCAGACCTTGATATCACCAACATGGTGCTCATCTTAGATGCATACAGAATGTAAGAGTCCTGAGGTTGAAAATACTTTCGCCTATATTTCAGAAGGTCTGGGAGGCCAAGTAGTGTGTCCCTGAAGCTGTGAATGTGAAGCTGAAAGTGAAATTGACAACCAAGAAGTTGGAAAATCTAGGAGGTTTGGGAAACATGCAAGGAGGGAACAAGCCCAAAGCAAGAGAAAAGCCATGGTGCTACAACCACCCAAAGTGCAATAGAGGTGAAATTACACAAGCCATTTGGAGCTCACAGTTTGCCACAGATTACTTCAGATTCTGGGCATGCAACTACAGGACTTAATGGTTGTTCTGCTGGATTTTGGAACACCTTTGGTTCCATTTCTTTATATCACCTAGTTTGTAACCTTTGGAATCATAATGTTTATTTTGTGCCACTGATTATCAGAAGTGTTTAACATTGTTTTCATTTGTACAGGTTTTGCAGCTAAGAGTTTGCCTTAAACCTCAGAGACTTGGGATTCAGGACTTGGACTGTATAGCATGCAGAAACAATGCAGAAACTGGTCAATGAGTTTTAATTAAGAGGTCATAAAGACAACAAAAGCACAAGTAATAAAAATTGACCCAAGGGAGATACAAATTACAGATTGAGAGACATTATTTGTAAACTATGCCTCCTTCAGCCTTTTGACCAAGATTGAGTATGGTTTTGAATTATAAGTATGAAAACTGTAATACCTAAAATTTTGAAGGGGCTAAAACAATGTACAGCATAAGAACAAATGAAGATAACACAGGCTACACAAGTGAACATCCATTTCTCAAAAGAAAAAATGGCCAAAATGTATGAAAAAATATTCAAACTCACTATCAAAGAAACACTAGTAAAAATCACCATGAACTATCACTTCATATCTGATATAATGGCTGTGAACAAGTAGACAAAATTAAACACTGATGAGTATATGGAGAACTCTTATGAAATTTGGGTAAAATTGTAAATTACTATAGGAAACATGTAAAAGTGCACGCTAATCTCTTAAAAAAACAAAAGTTTATCAATGATCCAGCAATTGCATCACTGCATATTATTGTAAATTAATTTAACATAACAAAACATGTCTACATTCTAATTTTTCCAACTTTATACTCAAGATAGAACCCAACCTAAATGTCCATCAATGGATAAATGGAAAAATGAGAAAGTAATATATGAGATATGATAAGAAAATACAATGAGTGTTTAAATTTGAAACCTGTTACAGCAAAGATACATTGCTATGAATTCCCTCTAAATGGTCCCTCTTGATTTAAACACATTCCAATAATCTTGCTTGCTTCGGTATCATGTCTGCAAGTATCCCTTCCTGCATGCTTTTTTAATGCTATTATGGACAACACATTGTCCTCAGTCAGTTAAAGTATTTAACCTTCATGATGATTTTGACTTACCCAAAGTCAAAATCTGTGGTCAGACTAAAAAGTATGTGGGTTTAGAATAACTGTAATGTTTTCTTTGTTTGTTTACATTTCTTTATTTCTTTTCTGATTTTTTTAAATCTATTTGGGACTGGGACTTGCCATGTAGTTAAAGGTATTCTTGAACTCGTTTAGTAAGCCAAATGGGCTTGTAACTTGCAGCTCTGGGACTGGAGGCAAACACCACAGCAACCACCAGCAATGCAAGAGAGTGGCATCCATACGGCAATAAGACATGAAGCGACTTCCAATTCTGATCAGGATGTCACAGAATCTTTGCGCTGTGTGAGCATAAGTGATGATGGGAAGAATAAGCCACTACTGCTGCACCACTCCCAGGCGACTTGTACACACAAGGAACAGAATGTGCACAATGCAATACTGTCTATCATGTGAATGGCCTATATGAAATCTTGGATTTCCAAGCAATTGTTCCTGGAATGGTTGCACTGACTATTTGCACCGACCAGTAGGAATTATCTTTTCTGACAATCAATTGCCTAAAAGTTATCTTCTTCAGATGGACAATGCCTGACACACACTGTAGCCCTGATGGAAGACAGGAATGCTGCATATAACTTCTTAAAGATCTAGTTCTTTTCCCAACATGACATCTCTTCTGCAACCCAAGGACCAGCCACTGATCTATAAATCCAAGATGCTACAGTGAAAGTTGGTTGTCACCAGGAGCTTTGATATCATTTAACAGATACCTTTACTCTGAAAGAGCCCTGCATCAGTGTCATTGACAAAGTCTGGTAAAATGTCGTATACCCAACTTTAAACTCAGCCTGCAGAAAACTGTGGGCAGAATGTGCCACTCAGCATGACTTTGAAGCATGTGATCCACAGGTAGTACAGGGGATTCTATCTATGGGTAGGAGTGTGAGTCAGGACATCAAAGGTGTGGGCACAGAAGAGCTTCTGAGGACCATGTTTTGGACAATAGAAGACCCTGCTGAACTCACAGTGAGCAGTAGAAGGAGCTTTGGGATGACCATCCCCTGGGGAGCAGAGAGATAGGGGGAGGTCATCAGCAATGTGATAAAACCCACTACTGAAAATGGGATGGGTGGCAGACATTCTTTGAGAAGCAGCACCCAACATAACCATAGTGAAATGCATTGAGTCTGAGGAATGATAGCAAGGTTTTTCATTTCTGGAAAGCTATGAAGTACAAGGGAAAAATGACATTAGAAACCGGCTTTATCAAAATCCGACCTGATAAGACATGAGCACTTTATCTCTCAGTTGAAGCTAAGAGAAACAGAAGAGAAAAACACCTGAAACAGGTCTCTCTGACATCAGTATAGAGGGGGACTCTCTCTCTGAACAAAAACCTTGTCCCAACCACCTGTTGTCCTCCAATCCAGAAGTCAACATGAGCAAGGTTGTGTCACTCTCTCTTAATTGTATACTCTCCTGTATTTTGTTTAATGCTTCAATCGTAAAAAATATACATATGTTTCAGGTTTGGTTCATGACCACTTTGATCTGTAATCAGTATCATGGGGTGAGTTAAGTTTGTGATCTGATTTACGGCCCTTCTTCCAAAAATATCTCCAATTTACCTCCTGCCTCCCCATTATTGAGGACATACACAAAGGTACAGAACAGGGAAAAAGGAGACATTTGTGCATTGATTTTTTCAAAAAAAAGATTGTTCATGATACCTAAGTTAAGCTAAGCTAAGGAAGCATTCTAAATGTCCATCAATATCTGAAGGAATAAATAAAATATTTTATATATAATACCAAAATTTTACCATAATTCTCAGAAGAAATATATGAGCAAGTTTCTATAAGCAAGGTTCATTTAAAGTTATATGTCCTACATAGCTTGACATTTTTCTTGGATAACATTTCTGTAGTTACTAGTGATCAAATTTAAAAACAAACCAAAGTAATGTAATATAAAACAATAAGACATGAGCACTTTATATTTGTCACTGAGCTATATTTGAATAAAATTGTTTATTTACTACTACAAAGGTTATACAAAAAGCTCAGTAATTTAAAAGTCAAAATATACCTAAATTTGTGTGTTGTATGTTTCCCTTCTGAATTGTCCTGCACCTAAAAATTAAAAGCTGCCTGGTTGACTCTCAGAGGACATAATTTCAACAGCATTTTTGACCTTTTTCCTATTTAATTGCTACCTCAGGTATGCAATAGCAATTAAACATTAGCGCTGTACCATTGCCAACACCACTAAGGATGCCTGAAACTCACACAGGAGTTGCAGAAGTAATAGTGTAGCATTGATAATGGAGTACAAAGCTATTCTATGATGAACCTGAACTTTAATGATAGATCCTGAAAAACTTATGCTTATCTAATTTTATTGACACAGTCAGTTGAAAGATAAAAGATCAAAGTATGTCTGATGTTGTATACTTATTGGGATGTTTCCTTCTTGTTTTGTTCTGATGACCATGTTTGACAAACTGTACCAAAAAAAGCCCTGCAAATGTGGGTGACATTGATAGGTAAATTACCTATGCACTTTTTCTCTGATGTCCTCAGGAAGAAGGAATTCTAATGTCCTATGCATCAGCTGAGAAAACTGTGGACATCTGCTATATATAATTGGTTACAAGAGCCAAGAGGACTAGAGGAGGATGTGATATTCCTAGGTATGTCTGCATGTCTAGATCACCCATACTTATTACAAAATTAGAGACAGAGTAGAGGGATAAAATAATTAAAAATATTTTGCAAACATTGATACATGTAACATTGAAAAAATAATCTCTAATCTTTTTTAGATGATACTATTACTTACAATCAAGTAAAAAGAAGTTGTCAAGCTGTTAAATGAGCAGGTGAGCAATACACCTCTGTGAGTCAGTCAGGATAGCTTGTCACAGGTGTCCTATTACATCCTGCCCTGCATGCTTCCAACTGTCACCAAGCAGGATATTTAGCATCCCAGCGAGAGCCTCCATCTTGCATCTTCTTAGACTTCCACCTTGGCTCAGCATCTTCAGTTTCATTTAACAAAACTATGCTGCTATTTGTTCAATAACTTTTAGGTAGACTTTTATATTTTGCTATTTCTACCTTCTACTCATATAAAAATATGTTAGCAAGTTTATATGTTCCATCCCCAACCTTGTGACCTATGCCTAGATCATCTAAGGGAAGAAATGGGCTAGAACACATTCCCACTACTGCAAAGGCAACACACTTCACTTTATTTCACCTGTAAACTCTAAACTTCCTTTTCTAACAAGCATAGTTCAGTTTTCTCAATGTCAGGATCATAAAACAGAGAGCGATGTCATGCTTTTTCAATAGCATTTTGGTGAACTCCAATTTAAACAGAATCAAGCCCACTAATGTCAATATGACTAGAAAATCTGCAGTAGAGTTTTTGTGTGAATGAGAAAACAGTGATACCTATTCCTGTGGAGAAGTGGCAGGACCAAGAAATTATGCAACATGAAGAATGTTGATAGATAAATTACCTTTGTACTCCGTCATGAGGAACTTGTCCTTCATCCATGTTTGCTAAATCTCTGTCACTGTCCCTAACTCCATCATGAACTCTCTGGCCAGTGTCTATTCTATAGCCTTCTGGGATATACCTTGCAGGTCTTCCTTTTGTTTGTCTTTGGAGGCGCAGAGTTCACGCTCCTCTTAGTGATGTCCTATGCCACTATGCTGCCATCTTCGGCCCGCTGCACTATGAGGCTGCCATGTACAGGGGTAGCTGTGTGCAGATGCTAACAGCCTCCTGGCTGGGTGGTGGCCTGTACAGTGCCCTTCACATGGCAGGTACATTCTCTGCCTCTTCTGTGAGGCCATCAGGGTGACTCAGTTCTTCTGCGAGGCCCCCCTCTCTTCTAAAGCTTGCCTGTCCTGTGTAGTCTGTTGTTGAACATGGGTTGATCATTGATAGCTGTGGGCTCATTTTCTTGTGTTTTACTGTGATATTTGTGTCTTATGTCCACATTTTTTCTACTGTTCTGAAAATCCCATCCTCAAAGAGCAGAGTGAAATGTCTTTACACCTGCCTGCCTCACCTTGCTGTGGTGATGCTGTTCATCCTTTCTGGGTTTGTTACATATTTAGCAGAAAATGTTATAACTTCATCCTTGTGGAAAGCACTGATATCAGTTTTTTACACTGTGTTATCCCCTACTGTGAACTTGCCTTCTACAGCCTATGAAACCAGGAGCTGCAGGGTTCCTTGGGGGCCCTGATAGCTGGGAAAATGTCTAGACTTTCCATTTTAGTTAAGATGTAAATCTTCATTAGGCTTATGTTTTGAGTGGAGATAATTACTTTTATTTTCTCTCTTTGTTACTGCACAGAATTCTGTAATTTGCTTCACAGCAAAGGAGTAGGTCGAGATTTAATCTGCCCTATAGACTCAGCTGGTACATTATAAATTTTAAATTAGTTGTTTTCTTTTAACTATTGATTTTGTGTCATTAGATTTGAACAACATTCTGGGTTATTAATGTGTTCCAGCAGAACTTTAGTATATACTGTGAACTCACAGTATTTTCAGGGCTGTTACAGAAAACCACACATTTCATTCTCACTCTGGGAAACACATTGTATTTAAAGAAGCTGTAGTTACAGGAAAGTTGCCTAGATCTTATTGTTTAAATTTGAAGGCTCTTTTATGCAGTTAATGATATCCTTTTGGCAAGGTTTGGAGCAGAGCGATCAGAGGCCTGGGAACAAGATGTCCAGCGATGGCTGTGGTGATTCTCAGGCTCACAGTCAGAACTGCAGAGGTCACAGCCACAAGGCTTCTCCTCCCAGGGGAACAGACTCAAACCACAGCACTCAAAGGTTCTTAGCCTGTCATTATATTCCTTGTCTTTTGTCTTTTCTGCATTGTCTGTATTTCTCTTGAAGTGATTTTTGTTTGTTTTTCATTTTGTTTTATTTTTGAACCAGAGATTGAAATCAAGATCTTGCACTTGTAGAGAGGTGCTGTGCCACTGAGCTAAATCCTCATCTCATGTTTTTTATATAAAATACTTTCTTTTATTTCTGTTTTTCTGTCAGTTTTTACCTTCAATCTTCATTTTTAAGGTGCAATATTTTTTTCTTTGCATCCATTCTTTCCCAGCCCTCCACATTTCCAGTGTTACTCTAAGGCCCCGCTCCTGCAGAGCCCCTGCTAAAGATAATACAGTGCATAAACCATGGCTCCTGTGGACCTGGGTAAAGACAGAGCCAGTGTGGACCTGGGTCTCGGAGGGTTGTGTGTGGCTGTGTAACTTAGCCACAGTGGAGGGACCTAACCGGAACATGTTTATACTCACTTACCACCACCTTTCTCTGCGTTTCCTTGCCCACACTTATAACCATGGTGCAATAATTTAGAAACTCAAATGTAATCTGGTGAGTGTTTTCTAAGGAGACCTTGGAAGA